CAGAAATCAGTGTTTCTTTTTTTATGGGAAAGAATCATTTTAGCCCAGTTATCCGAATATTAACTCTAGAAGAACGCGAACAACATATAATTATCGTGCTGTTGGTGAACAAGCCCCCCCCCCCACTCGACCTCAGCCAATGTGTACAGAGGGCGCGCTTTTTGAAGTTAACGCGCGATCTCGTGCGAAAGTACATGTACATGTAGCATGCACCGGTACTTAACTTAGTACTGGTACATGTACATGTACGGGGTCCGGCAATACAACAGACAACGCAACATTATGCTGGGTAGCCTATCATTCAGCGGAAGCGAAATTGTACAGGTAAGCTGCGTCTTTCTCCTCCTGGTTTATGGTCACATTGAGGATAAATGCTTCCAGCTTAAGCTTGTTAGTAGTTGAGTTATAATGTTTACATTTGTGCGTCCCTGTCGTTTTGGGTTTTTCCTACCTCCGCCTTCAGCCGCTATATAGTCTCTCGTCCTTGACAATTTTTATGTGGGCCCTAGGCCTACATCATACATCATATTACATGTACATGTATGTACATACTTTACCTGACGACGATTGCACCATGCTGTACACTTTGTGTGCATCACAGGGTGGACAAGTGGTGAACCAATATGACCTACATGTAGCTCCGCATTTCAGTTCTCCTAAGTCTACATGTAATTTGCGTCAATCTCCCCATGCAAGGCGCAAACCTATAGGCCTAATACAGTTGGTGTGATTTATCTGTGTATGTATGTCATCTGGTCATGTCTGACATCCTGGGGCCTTCCTCTGGATGCTTTGCTGACTAGGCCTACATGTATATAAGCCTTATCGGAAATACTGCATGGTTGATTTTGCCATTCTACCATTATGTAAATCACCCATGTAGTATTTGCAATTATAAAGCTTAGGCCTACACAAGTCTCCGAGGCAGGGTACATGTTCGTACCACAGGTGGAACCTTGTCTATTATCATAATAATTTATGCCACAGCTACACAGCAAGGGCTGCGAGTGTCTCACGTCCTGTTGGTGTCGTATATATCACT